ATCCGCGACCACCAACAGCACTACCAACAATATATAGCAGAGGTCGCATCACGCAATTCACGACAACAAGAAGACTAACACCGCGAGGATGTTATCATGGCGCTGAAAGTTCCACCAATGCCCAAACCCAAATTCCCAACAGCTGAGTACAAAGCACCACCAACGACGTAGACCAGGTTTCCAACGCAAACACAGGATGGACCATACTGGAGATAAATTACCTCTTGTACATCCATTTGTAGATGGACATCAACGATTGGCTTGTTTCTTCTCCCCCTACTTCTTCACCCTCCTACTCATAAATCTTGCATGCAGTGCCTCTGTCCCCACGCCTGCCCATGCCAGCGTTGCCCTCGTGATCTCCTTTTCAACAGCCCAAGGACTGAGAGTTCCAGGCTTAACCCGAAAAAAGATGTCATACAGCACGAGGGCCCGTCACCGCGGAGATGAGGGTGAACCGAAGAAAACCAGGGTTGCAGCCTTAGATTTGCACGAGTAACTCTACTTTCTTTCTTCTGTGGCACATAAGCCAACCAGCATGACTTACAAAAGCCGTAGGTACCGCCTCGTCCATGGCTGTTGGCACAAGACCTCACCCACTGGAATGGAGTAGCTTTTACGATTGGATAGGAAAAGGGGGAAGGCTACACTGCCGCATCTTGCACGCCTGTCAGCACACCAAATAATATGTGACATTGCCGACCCTGCTTTAGAGTCCGGATGCGTTATTGGAAGGAGTGGGTCGGCGGGTGATGCGGCTTATGTGGGGGATCAGATTTTGCAGAAGACATCAGGCCAGCCAGACTTAGTAAGTTTCTAATGTTCAGCCTTGCCGCTCACATACCTTTTCGTTAACCAGCAAAGGCCGGCCAGTGCAGAATTGGCCAGCTTGCATCATACCAGCTGCAGACGTTATTTCCCGTTCCCCACTAATCTTCAGCCCCGCCAGCACTTGCGCCACCAACTCTTGGCATCACTGGCAACCCTCAGCACGTCCAAGTTTGAAATACGATGCCCGTTACATTAACCATGTAATAGGTTGATCATGGATTTGATTCGGAGGTGGTGGAGGATTTTTCTTAGTGGGAAGAGAACCACGCAGTTGTATATCGGATCCCCTCTGGTCTACAGGGCGTGGCTCCACCGCCGCTAAGCTACCAGACGTTGTGCACGCTACAGCATACTGCGCCATGTGCCCGTTGCAGTTTTCACACCAACACGCATCAATTGTTCTACAAACTTTGGCCACTCAGCACTGCCTGAGCCAGCCATTAGCACCAGTACCTGCAAAGATCGGCCACACAGACCAACATGGTTCCAGCCGCGGCGCCAGCATTCACCAGCTGTTCTAGAGAATTGGGCCAGGCAACAGTGCCTGAGCCAGCCGCAGTACCAGCATCAGAACATTCAACGACGCTGACCAGCCAAATTCAACTAGGCCAGCCTCGCAGCGTCGCATACTATTAGACGACATCAGCCATCGCTGGCACTTGCGACATCGAATCTCCAGAGTTCGTGGGAGGGGTAGGTCGGCGGGTGACATAGGGGGAAGGGGGGCGGGGAAGTAGGCGGAGACACCCCACCTTGTTTCTATGTGTGCAGGCCCTCCCTGCTCAGGGACCCTTCAGCACCCAACGAGCCGAGCCACACTGTCAACGCCCGAATCTTCTGGCAGCACTTGCCCTTTCCTGTGGTTACTCCAGGGTGCTGCATACTGCCGTTTTGGCGTCGGTAGGGGAATAGCCCCATGGTTCCTCCCACGGTGGGTTCAGGACAGCCGCACACCCAAGAGTTCACTCTTCTCCGCCTAACTGCGCCACTGTGCAACACGAAGGTCGTTTTCTCTACTTTATTTGTTTTCGCGCATCACACCCTTGCTACTGCCAGCCTTGATTAAGTTTGGTAGGAGCGGGCGCTTATATGGAGCAGGGGACGGGAGTTGCCTTTTGGCATCAAACGGTCACACATGTAGCCCTGTTGCTTAGCCACCTTGTTTTCGTGCCTGGGACACAAGGAACTGCGCCGACAACACTGGCAGGCAGCTTTATTATATTCCTCGAGGCCTCGCAATGTATTTTCCCCGACGCCAGAAGCACCGTTCTTCATGCGTGATCAACGTCAACAAGGAGGAGGAGGAGGAGGAGGAGGAGGAGGGGGGGAAGGAGGAGGAGGGGTGAGGAGAGTAGCTCCCAGCTTGGCACAAGCATTCTCGCTCGAGCCTGGGACCTGGCATGCAGTATCGGCACCAACGGTCCGGATGAGCCAACAGGTGTCCAACGGCATGAGCGCCGTGCGGGCACGCCCTTCGACGACCAGTGCACATCGGGTGAACACCGGTCGCTCTGTCACGGGGATTTCCACCGAGCAGCAGGGCAGCAGCCACCACACCTTGGAGGGCGTTGCCAAGAGGCTGACGGAGGTCCTTTCCTCCATTCCTCTTCCTCTTCTTTCTCCTCCTCCTCCCCCTCCTCTTTCTCCTCCTCCTCCTTCTCTTACTCCTCCTTTCCTCCTCCTCCTGCTCCTCCTCCTCCTCCTCCTTCTCCTCTCCTCCTCCTCCTCCTCCTCCTCCTCCTCCTCCTCCTCCTCCTCCTCCTCCTCCTCCTCCTCCTCCTCCTCCTCCTCCTCCTCCTTTTTTGACGTTGGGCAGACATGAAGTCCGGTGCTTGTTGCGTTCCGCTTCCTCCTCTCGCTCCTCCTCTTCATCATGCTCCTCCTCCTCCTTCCCTCCTCCCCCTCGTCCATCCCTGGGAGGCCCCTGGAGGCCCAAGAGGGAAGCCAAAAAAGCCCAGCGATAGCGATCCTCGGTTCTCCTCCTCCGCCGTCGCGTCGAGAGTTCCGCATCCTCACTCACCCTTTCTCCGCAGCGTATGACCCATCCCTCCTGGGCGCACCCCCAGACGTGTCGGAAGGGCGGGCCCGTCCGCCGTTTCGCTCGAGACCTCCCCACAATATGTATACGAGCCTGCAGTTTGAAAATCGCAACCGCTACTCGGATGGAGGGGCGTCGTTTTCAAAATCGATGTGTATCGCGTGAGCGCCGCGCACATTCGCCTTAGATGTTTGCAACAGTTACAACTATGGAAGGGGCGGCTTTCAAATGGAGTTATTGCCTTAGCGCCTTTCACACTCATCTTCAAATTTTGAAGCGGCAACAAGGATGGAGCACAGCTCGTTTTCAAAATGGGGTCCTCGCCTTAGCGCCGCGCACATTCGTGTTGAAAGCTTATGATTGTTACAAGGATGGTGGACGTCTCTTTTTCAAAGTAGGGGATCTCGCTTTAGCGCCGCACACATTCGTCGCAACGAAATGCAACCGTTACAAGGATAGAGGGCAGCTCCTTGTAAAAATGCGGTTGTCATTCAAGACTTCGTCAGAATGACAGGCCAGCAATTTCAACAAATGGAGGAGCTGCTCAGATGGAGGGCGGTTCACTTTCAAAAAGGGTCCCTCTATTGGAACCTCGAAGTTCATGACCAGAAGTGCAATTTGTGTGCAGCTTGCGCACGGCTGGGGGTCGGCGCTTTTTCAAACGATGATGTCGTTGGACACTTGGCTGCGCTGTGCGATCATACAGTTTTGCACTCCCGACTCCTCGCTAGATTTGGCATCGCTCGGACCCGTACATATTTCTCGGCGAGCACCATAGAGGAGTATCACGGAGCACTTGCGAAAAAAAGGCGCACACGAAATCGAAAAAGATGCACGGGGAGTGGACGTCCGAGCGATGGCAGGAGGAGGAGGAGAAGGAGGAGGAGGAGATGGAGGAGGAAGGAGGAGGAGGAGGAGGGAGGAGGAGGAGGAGGAGGAGGAGGGAGGAGGAGGAGGAGGAGGAGGAGGAGGAGGGAGGAGGGAGGAGGAGGAGGAGGAGGAGGAGGAGGAGGAGGGGGGGGAGGAGGAGGAAGGAGGGGGAGGAGGGGAGGAGGAGGAGGAGGAGGAGGAGGAGGGAGGAGGAGGAGGAGGAGGAGGGAGGAGGAGGAGGAGGAGGAGGAAGGAGGAGGAGGAGGAGGAGGAAGGAGGAGGAGGAGGAGCAAGGAGGAGGAGGAGGGAAAAGGAGAAGGAGGACGACGACGATCACGCAGTTCTGCATGCTCGGCTCGCCGGAAGGGTACAGGGCAGCGCCTCTCCGAAGCGGGACCACCACCCGAACGGCAGGCCCGCGGGGTCTGCTGGTCTTCCAGGGGGGCCGCTCTCTGCAGTCCACGCAGGGAAGGGCGTGTGGCCTGGCAGCGCTCGGACCTGTGCAGGTCACCTCGGCGGGGACCATCGGCCGGGCGATCGCACGCATGGCTTTCAAGGGGGCGAGGATCAGCGACGGGTCCTGCCGCCATGGGAAAGCACGGACTTCCGCCGCCGAGCGAGGCGGCACCGGCCGCATTTTGGGGGAGGGCACCTCCCCCGATCCATGGACTTGGCGACCGCGCGCCAAATCCACGGATCGCTAACCCATGTTTGCGCGCCCCCGAGTCGGGGAGCATCCTGGATCACCCGGCAAAAGAAGGCACGCACGAGACCGAAAAAGATGCACGGGGAGTTAGCGCCCGAGCGGCGGCAAGAGGAGTGGGCTCGGACGGGAGAGTGTACTGCAGCATCGCCGGCGCCTTCCCAGTTTGCCCTGGTCATCCTCCTCCTTCGCGTCTCCTCCCTGCTACGGGAGGTGCCACGGGTAGAAACCCGCGCATTCCACTGTCATTGCTCAAGCCATCCTGATGCTGGTCCCTGCCCGAGAGGTTTTAGGAGACCCATGAAGAAGCCACACATTATCAAAAGTTTCGATCTTCGATCGTCATCCTTCTCTTCTCGTTCTCATGCTCATGCTCCCTTACCTCCCCTCAGATCCGGCCGTCGTGTAGACTTCACGGCAATCGTTTTGTACGGCTGTCGAGCCCGTGGGACATTCTCAGATCGATCCAGCCCGAGACACGAAGCAGAAAGATGAGGCCGGAAGTTCCTGTCGTGATTGGTCACGACGTTGTGTTTTTGCACGGTGTCCGGTCTCGAGGTCGTGGCTTACGAAGACGAGAACCGAGGCAAGCTCGGGGCGAAGCAGGCCTTCCGGGGCATATACTTGATGTCCAGGCCGTTCTACTGCGGCGACCATGCGTGCCACGGCAAGGTCCGCGCGTGGTTCCTCTCTTTGTCCTGCTCACTGTGGATGATCGGCACACCCAGGTTCCTCTTATGGAATTCGGAGCTCGTTTCGCGGATGTTTGCTGCGCTTTCACATGGCCCAGAGGGTGAGGCCGAGTTCAACAAGGTCACAAAGCTGCTGGCAGTATACATCGTCTGCAGCGTCCTGGCCCGTGCGATCGAGGAACTGCTGAAGGGCATGTGGGCCCTGGAGTGGCGCAAATTTCTGACGCGTCGATTGTTGCGCTCCTACGTCACCGGAAACGTATTCTACACGCTGAAGCTCGAGGACGCAGCTGGCGTGGTCGACAACCCCGACCAGCGAATATGTCAAGATGTGGACGAGTTCACACAGAGCGCTGTGGGTTTTATGAGTTATTTGATTGGTGTGATTTCTACCATCATAATGGCTTCGATGGAGATCTTCCGTGCAGAAGCGAACCTTTATTGGGCTGCGATTGTCTACGCCATCTTATACAACGTATTTATGTTCAACATCTTTGGCGGGCGCTTAATGCGTCTCCGCAGCAAGAAGTTGGAACAGGAGGCAGATCTGCGTTACTCGGTCATCCGCGTTCGGGAAAGCGCAGAGGCCATCGCTTTCTACCAGGGCGCCGAATATGAGCGCATGAAGTCCTCTGGCCATTTTGACGACGTGGTGACGACATCATATCGCGAGCTGTTCATGAACTCTGTATGGAGGGGTATCGACACTGGCAATGGCAACATCACCTATTTCATGCCGTATTGGGTACTGTCCCACGGGGTGTTCGCTGGCACAATGTCGTACGAAGACGCAATCCAAATACAGATCCTGACCGTGAATTTGATGGGCGCGCTGGTCAGCCTAGTGGGCGAGCTGGCGCGGCTGTCCACCATCGCGGCGCACTCCGCGCGCGTGCTCCGACTGCAAGAGGAGCTGGACCTGATTCACCGCGACGCAGACGAGGACGCCCACGACTCCGACGATGATTCCTCGGAGTCGAGCACGGAGGACCCGAGCAGGACGTCCCCTTTGGCTTCTCTTGGCAAGTGCAAGATCGCCCGCCATGAGACGCCTCTCGACGGGGTGCCACTTGAGATGGACAACGTCACGCTGAGATGCCCCGGTCCCGAGAAGTCCATCGTCCTGAAGGACGTCTCGCTGACCCTGGAGCACGGGAGCTCGCTGCTGGTCACGGGGCCAAGCGGCACCGGGAAGAGCTGCCTCCTGCGCGCCATCGCTGGCCTCTGGCGCCGCGGCACGGGGCTCGTGAGTTGTTGCCCGCACGAGCAATGCTTCTTCCTGAGCCAGTCGGGCTACATCTGCCCCGGCTCCTTGTGGGACAACGTGGCGTACCCGGTGTCTGGCGTGCCGCCAGAGGCCTTCGAGGACGGCGGGGCCTTCAGCAGGTCGGAGGTCACCCGCGTCTTGCGCGCGCTGGACTTGCAACACTTGCTTGACAAGCACGGCCTGGACCGCAGCGCAAACTTGGACGTCCTCTCTGGCGGCGAGAAGCAGCGGCTCGCCTTCTCGCGGGTGTTGATGCGCCCGCACATGAAGCTCGTCCTCCTGGACGAGGCGACCTCGGCCGTCGGGGAGGACATGGAGTGTAGGATGTACGCCGAGCTCCGCCGGCGCGGCCTGAAGACCTACGTGTCGGTCGGCCACAGGCCCACGTTGGCCAGGTTCCACTCACACAAAGTAGAGGTCGTCAGGTACTCGGAGAAGTGAAAGCGGCATAAACATCAACTTCCGGAGCTGCGCGCGGATTTCTCGGATCGGCATTGGGCTCCCCAGGCGGCGCTTCCAGCGCCGCTCCTGGCGAGCTCCGCGCGACAGGGAGGGACTTCAGGCGCCGATCCGAGAAGTCCGTACGGACTTCCGAATGTTTCGATTCCATGCAGGTACGCTGATGACTTCCAGCCGAACACCAGGCTGATCGAGCTGGGCGATCCGGACGGCGACGACGCGGGCGGCAGATCCCCCAGGTCGCAGTCGACCCTCGGGCTCAGGTTGCCAGCGCGAGCTCGCGGTGACAGCGGTGCCTCTGCCACGCTGTCCCAGTACCCCAGCCTCGCCAGCTCTTGGCAGCCCTGACAGCTCCAGCATTCGAGGGGCACGTCCCTCACCTCGTCCTCCCGATCCCCCGCCTGCTACACCTCCTTCTCCTTTTCCTCCTCATCCTCCTCATCATCAGCATCATCACCATCATCGTCAACATCATCATCATCATCATCATCATCATCATCATCATCATCATCATCATCATCATCATCATCATCAGCATCATCAGCATCATCAGCATCATCATCATCAGCATCAACAACATCATTCCCCTCCTCCTCCTTCTCCCGCATGCCCACCTGCTGCCACTCCCTCGCTCTCCTCGTGGCGAGCACCCCTGCGCCCACAATCCGCACATGATGCGGATGCGGGGGCAAGACCTGATAACACCTCTCTTGCTCTCTCTCTCTCTCTCTGTCTCTCTCTCTCTCTCTCTCTCTCTCTCTCTCTCTCTCGCAGACCACACCACACCAGTCTTCCGTACTCCCCCCTTTTCTCTCTTTCCTCCTCCTCCTCCTCCTCCTCCTTCTCCTCCTCCTCCACCTCCTCCTCTTCGCCGCCATGTTCCCGCGTCCCGCAGAGTAGCTACCCAAGAGCGGTAGCGCCCAAACTCATCTAAGTCATATGCTTTTCTGGCGCTGCATGTCGTATCTGCTCTGCAGCGACAGCTTCGGCGGCTCGCCGAGGGGGGAAGGCAGAGGGGGCGGGCCTTCTCAGGAGGCTCGAAAGGCCGTCCGAGAAGCTTTCTGGGCTTTCTCCCAAGCCCCGCCGCCTTCTGAGAAGGCCTGCCGCATCTCACTTCCCCCCTCGGCGCGCCGCCGACGGTCCCAGGATCTCCAGGCTGGCCTCCTTCTGGGCCCCGGCGTATCCCAGGAGGCCCGCTCGCAGGCTGTACGGGTTTCGTGCCGTATCTCCACTGGCGCGCACGAGGAGAGCCGCAACGTTGTTCGAGAGTTCATGCTGAGCACAAGCCGCGCTCATTTCAGTAGGCTTCTCCCTTCTCACAGGTTGTCCGATCCACTCCTTTTCCTCATCCTCCTCCTCCTCCTCCTCCTCCTGCCCCTCCTTTTCCTCCTCCTCCACCTCCTCCTCCGCATCATCATCATCATCACCACCAACAGCATCACCAGCACCATCCTCCTCCTCCTCATCACCATCGCCATGCATAGCCATTTTGGCTCAAGCCATTCTGGCTCAGATCATTATGAGATTGGCCGAGCGAACTTCAGAACGGCGCTGCACGACCGAGCCTATTGCCTACCGTTTGCAGGTGGCGCCTGCACATCGTTCTGCCTACCACGTGCAGGTGGCGCATGCACAGTCACCATTCCTCAGCCTCAACAGAGGCCGCCGCCCGTGGCACGGCAGGCCAGCGCCCACGCGAGGCACGCGCTGGCTCTGTGGGGGCTGCGGATGCGCCAAGACTCGTTGTGCCTGGTGGTGGTGCCAACGCTGCCGTGCGCTATAGTCTGCGGGGACATGCACCGTGGTGGAGGGCAGTGCTGCTCTGCCTGTTCCTGGTGTTGGTGTGGCCGACGACATCGACAAGCAGGTGGCATTGCTTGGTCCTCTCCCGCCTGGTCCCGTGCTCGGAGAAGGGGCTGGATGGCGCGGTGGACGCGGCTGGCCAGCTCTTGCTACCAAGGACAAGCTCTGCACTGAGGGCCTCCCTGCGGCAGTGCTCGAAACCCTGCGGGTCCTGGCTGTCAAACAGGGCCAGCATGACTTGGCGAAGTCTTACGAGAAGCAGAAGGCTGTTGCAGAGGCCCGTGAGCGGCCGAAGATCGATACCCGCTCCAGCATCCACACGAAAGTTCCGCATGCCCAGTCGAAGTTCAAGCGGTTGGAGAAGCCAGTGCATCGTGAGTTCGATCGCTTGGAGTCTTGGCGCACTGGCGCCGTGGAGCTTGAGAAGAGCATCCAAGAGTCGGCCATGGACTTGGACAGTCACGAATCCAAGTACAAGGGGCTGGTGCTACATATTCGCGACGAAGTGCACGCGGCGGCCCCTGGTCCGCCAGCTGCGCCAAAGCTCAGCCTCCAGGCGCTGGTCGAGAAACGAGGACTTCCAGCTCGACGTGGATGACGACATCTTCCAAGGCTTGCCCGAGGAGTGCGAGTTATCCAAGGCAGACACCGACCAGATCGAGGCAGAGAAAGCAATATTTCAGCAGGGGGTGCGTGACATAGCCAAGAAGCTGTTCAGCGGAGCGAACTCCACCACCGCCCAGACTCGCCGCGAACATCGGGAGCATCTCACTCGCCGTGCCACTAAGAGGCGGAAGACCGTCATTGGAACGGCCCCTGGCGCAGGGAGGCCTCCGATCACTGGTGAGGGAGCAGAAAGCGCCGCCGCAGGTGCTCTCCCTGGACGCGGCGCCCCCTCCCAGACTGGCAGTGGAGCCCCAGCCGCGCCCCTCGCAGCACCTGTCGCTGGCGCAAGCGTCTCGTCGGCATCTGGCCCCACGCACGGCGCCCCCCCCCCCCCGCCCCCGCGAGCACGACCGATCGCAACCACCTCGGACCGATCGTAAACCACTTCGGACCGATCGCAACCAGTTGCGATCGGTCCGAAGCAGCTGCGATGCTTTTGGGTAGTTCGAACAAGGTTTTGATTAAGGAAGAGATCATAAAAGCGCTTCTGGGTTCAATGATCCCCCTTAAGGCGCCCAACGGGAATTTGAAAAAGCGATTGCGATCGGTCCGATCACAGACGGCCGATCATGATCTCAGCAGAACACATGTATTGGAGTTCGAACGTGGCTATGATCCGTATACGAGTCCCATGTGATTCGTATGCGGTTGAAGCCGAAACTGAGCGGAAACGCAAGGCGCGAAACAAATTGCATCTCGGGAAGGGGAGAAGCAGGAGGAGCACGAGGAGCAGGAGGAGGAGGAGGAGGAGGAGAAAGAGGAAGCGGAGGAGGATGGGGGGAGGAGGAACGGAGAAGGAGGAGGGGAGGGAGGAAGGACAGGAGCAGGAGGAGAAGGAGCAGGAGCAGGAGGGGGAGGAGGAGAAGGAGGAGGAGGAGGAAGAGGGGGAGGAGGAGGAGGGGGGGAAACGGAAGAGGACAGGATGGCAAGGCGGGTAGACGCGGCGGCCCAAACCCCAAACATCATGACTTTCCACGACGTCGACCCTCAGAGGTTTGGGCGAATTTCCCTACGGTAGGTTCGTGCGGCGTCGGCACCCGCAAGGCTCTTGGCACCGCGTGGATCGTTCCACCTTGAACGATCGCGGCCCCGATCGTTCAATGTTTAATTTCGTCGGGCGCAGTGGGCCCAACGTGTCCGTCGGTGCTTCCGCGTCGCAAAATGCCGCCCTGAACGCCTTCGCCAACGTCGCCGGCGCGCCAACGCCGCATGAACCTACAGTAGACCAGCATCGCATACTGAGTCACTTTTGGACGGCCCCTGGTCCCGGCGATGGCCCCCCGAGCCCGAAACAGAAACAGATGTTGTCACGACGCCAGGCGGTCTGGGCCTGTGGTGGTCGTGGGAGCCATGGCTGGGGGACGCGTGCGCCCTGCGCGGCCTGCGAGACCTGGGGCGCCCGTGCGACACGCGGGACCTGCGGGACCTGCGGGGCCTGCGGTGCAGGCCTCTCGGAAGCCTTTTCAGAAGCCTCGCAGAAGCCTCTCATAAGCACTTCCGAAGCTCTTCAGAAGCATCTCCGAAGCCTCGTGGAAGCCTCTCAGAAGCCTCGCGGAAGTTTCCCAGAAGCCTCTCAGAAGTCTTTCAGAAACCTTTCAGAAGTCTCGCAGAAGCCTCGCAGAAGCCTCGCAGAAGCCTCTCAGAAGCCTCTCAGAAGCTTCCCACAAGCCTCTCAGAGGCCCCCCACAAGCCTCGCAGAGGCCTAAGCCTTTCAGGGACTTCAGAGAAGCCTTCCAGAGGCCTCAGAGAAGCCTTTTTCAGAGGCCTTCGAGAAGCCTTTCAGAGGCCTCAGAGATGTCTTTCAGAGGCCTTAGGGAACCCTTTCAGAGGCCTTAGAAAGCCTTTTCAGACGCCTTTGCAGGAGCTTTTGGATCTGTTGCAATCCGGTGTTTTCCTCAACAGGTTTACATAGGAATCGTTCAGGTTGCGACCAGGCCGTTTCCAGTGGTTGCAATCCGACCCAAGCGGTTGTCACCGGTCTTATCCCCCCCCTCGGGGGCGAGCCCCGAGTTGCGAAAGCGCCTCCGATCGGCCCTCACCAAGTCGGAGCCCAGCGCGCGCCCCCCCCCCCCCCCGCCCAGCGGCGGGGGGGGATTGACTTGTCGAAGCTGCCGTGAGTTACTCCCACGGCCCTGGGAAGGATCTGACCCTCACCCCCGCGCCCTCTCGAGTTCGGGAGGCTACTGTTTGCTGGGCTGGCGCCGCGTTACTCCCTGACGTCGGGGAATTATTTGTCCTGTTTCGGGATCCCCCGGGCCCGGGAGTCCCAGGCCCAGGCCCCCGCCCCCTGGATGGCAGCCTGGAACTCATTATCGCGACGGCGACTCTCAACAGTTGGGGGTCGCCCCGAGATCGGTCGCCTTCTGTCCAGAGTAGTCGCGTTCTACTTGTACGAGAGCACCACCCCGAAGACCCTGAAGGCGTTGCAAAGGCATCGAAGTTCTGCTTCGACCACGGTTGGAAGTCGGTTAGAGATCCCGCTTTGAGGACGCCTGAAGGGGGGTACTTCTGGCAGTGCAGCCACACTGTGCAGGCACTTTCTCGGTCTTCTCCCCCCGTCGGTCACGGTCGAGGGCAGGGCTCTGAGGACCATTGCGCATCTTCCTGGGGGCGCCCCCTTCGCGGCGTTCCCCGCGCACGGTTTCGACGCGGGCGGGGCCGCGGATCGACAGCTCGACCTTTTCAAGCAAATAGGTCCCCACCTTTCATTGGAAGGCCTCGCCTTCGTTGTCGGGCGCGGCTTGAACCTGGGACCGCCCAAAGTTCAGGGCCTCGGCCTTCTTGAAAAATGCCACGGGGAACGTATACTCAATGGGGCCCCCTACTTGCATCGGCAGTAAGAACTCGGAGCATGACTTCTTCCTCCTTTCTAATGGGCT